AAATGAACCAGTGGTTGATATTATGAGCAACGGTCCAGGTTTATCAGGTTCCATGCCACACTATGAACCAAATCACAGACCCCTCCATCAATAAAGTTGGTACTGATGTACACGAGCGGATACTTATCAGTAACTAATAATGATTTCTGTGTAAGACTCCTTAAACAAGGAAACGAGAATGTGGATACGACTTCTGTCTGTATGCGACACCTTATAAGGAAACGAGTTTAAGGATAAGACTTATGTCTGTATAGACTCCTTATAACAAGGTAACGATAAGTAAGGATGCCACTTTTGTCTGTATACGACTCCTAATATATAGGAAAAGAGGAAACATGCTTTCTACTTGTATACCAATCCTCATAAGGGAACGAGGGTAATGATATGACTCCCGTCTGTATAGACTCCTTATGACGCCTGTCTGTATACGACTCCTTATAATATGGAAACGAGAGTAAGGATATGGCGTCTATCTGTATACGGCTTCTTATAACAAGGAAACGTGAGTAAGGATATGACGTCTGTCTGTATACGGCTTCTTATAACAAGGTAACGAGAGTAAGGATATGACGTCAGTCTGTATACGGCACCTAATAATAGGGAAACGAGAGTAAGGATATGACGTCTGTCTGTATACGATTTCTTATAACAAGGTAACGAGAGTAAGGATATGACGTCTGTCTGTATACGACTCCCTATAATAGGGAAACGAGAGTAAGGATATGACGTCTCTCTGTATACGACTCCTTATAACAGGGGAACGAGAGTAAGGATATGACGTCTGTCTGTATACGGCTTCTTATAACAAGGTAACGAGAGTAAGGATATGACGTCAGTCTGTATACGGCACCTAATAATAGGGAAACGAGAGTAAGCATATGACGTCGGTCTGTATACGGCTTCTTAAAACAAGGTAACGAGAGTAAGGATATGACGTCTGTCTGTATACGACTCCACATGATAGGGAAACGAGAGTAAGGTTATGACTTCTGTCTGTATACGACTCCTTATAATTGGGAAACGAGAGTAAGGATATGACGTCTGTCTGTATACGGCTTCTTATAACAAGGTAACGAGAGTACGGATATGACGTCCGTCTGTATACGACTCCACATGATAGGGAAACGAGAGTAAGGATATGACTTCTGGCTGTACACGACTCCTTATAATAGGGAAACGAGAGTAAGGATATGACGTCTGTCTGTATACGGTTTCTTATAACAATGTAACGAGAGTAAGGAAATGCCGTCCGTCTGTATACGACTCCCTATAATAGGGAAACGAGAGTAAGGATATGACATCTCTCTGTATACGACTCCTTATAATAGGGAAACGAGAGTAAGGATATGACGTCTGTCTGTATACGTCTTCTTATAACCAGGTAACGAGAGTAAGGATATGACGTCTGTCTGTATACGACTTCACATAATAGGGAAACGAGAGTAAGGATATGACTTCTGTCTGTATACGACTCCTTATAAGAAGGAAACGAGAGTAAGGATATGACGTCTGTCTGTATACGGCACTTTATAACAAGGCAAGGATATGACGTCAGTCTGTATACGACTCCTTATAATAGGGAAACGAGAGTAAGCATATGGCGTCTATCTGTATACGGCTCTGATAACAAATTAACGAGAGTAAGGATATGACGTCTGTCTGTATACGGCTTCTTATAACAAGGTAACGAGAGTAAGGATATGACGTCTGTCTGTATACGGCTTCTTTTAACAAGGTAACGAGAGTAAGGATATGGCGTCTGTCTGTATATGACTCCTTATAATAGGGAAACGAGAGTAAGGATACGACGTCTGCCTGTATACGGCTTATAATAACAAGGTAACGAGAGTAAGGATATGATGTCTGTCTCTATACGGCTTCTTAAAACAAGGTAACGAGAGTAAGGATATGACGTCTGTATGTATACGGCACCTTAAAATAGGGAAACGAGAGTAAGGATATGACGGCTGTCTGTATACGGCTTCTTATAACAAGGTAACGAGAGTAAGGATATGACGTCGGTTTGTATAGACTCCTTGTAACAAGGAAACACGAGTAAGGATATGACATCTGTCTGTATACGGCTTCTTATAACAAGGTAACGAGAGTAAAGATATGACGTCTGCCTGTATACGGCTTCTTATAACAATGTAACGACAGTAAGGATATGACGTCTGTCTGTATACGACTCCTTGTAACAAGGTAACGAGAGTAAGGATATGACGTCTGTATGTATACGGCACCTTAAAATAGGGAAACGAGAGTAAGGATATGACGTCTGTCTGTATACGGCTTCTTATAACAATGTAACGACAGTAAGGATATGACGTCTGTCTGTATACGACTCCTTGTAACAATGTAACGAGAGTAAAGATATGACGTCTGCCTGTATACGGCTTCTTATAAGAAGGTAACGACAGTAAGGATATGGCTGCTGTTTGTGTTCCAGGTAAACCTAACTGCGAGATGGGCTACAGCCTCATCCCTGACAAGAACAGGTGCGTCCGAGGTATGTAAACCACGTGGGACTGACTGACCAAGATAGTGAAACGTCAACCTTCTTTGTGTTCAAGTTAACACAAGTCATTTGACCAATATTGGCACACATGTACCATATCAATCAACGGTTGTGACCCTCTCTGTTCCAGATTGCAAGGTGTACAGCACCAAGTTTCAGAGGCAGTCCAACGTCATCTGTTACACGGCCTACAACAAGAAACTGAGACATGCACATAGAAAGGGTTGTGAAAGGGCGTGTCTGAAGTACAAGAAGACGTGTGACGGATATGAACTCTACAAGAACAACTGCTACATCATCGCAGAAAAGAAGATTTACGATGCAGAGTGGAAAGCTTTTGAAGACGAGTGTACTCACTATCAGAGAATATGCAAGGAATAGATACTTATCAGTTATATATCATCAGTTATATATCATCAGTTATGTATGCAAGTTCATCATCAGTATCCAATTCAGGATAACTCTTATTTCCGCAGGTAAACGTCTGAGACCTGCATCACTTCGGGCTTTCCTCCCACATTAAGCTGACACGCTGTGATATAACTTGAATACTGTTAAAAGCGGCGTAAAACCCAACTCACTCACTCACTACAAACAATAATAGGAAAGTGTTAAAGAAAACGTATATACATCTTTCTATTTTCACATGCATTGTTATTCTCTTAGATTTGAGGGGCGGTCGGGTAGCCTAGTGGTTAAAGCGTTCGTTCGTCACGCCGAAGACCCGGATTCGATTCCCGACATGGGTACAATGTGTGAAGCCCATTTCTGGTGTCCCCTGCCGTGATATTGCTGGAATATAAGCGGCGCAAAAACATACTCATTCACTCACTCTTAAATTTGAAAAATAAAGATTAAAGATTGACAACTGCAGTTTCTCCAAAGTTTCTTCTTTTATTGAATGAGCATAAAAGTAGGTATGCAAAACATTTTTATTGGCAACATCCTACTTAGTTGTGAAATAAGACTAAACCGTTTTACCTGAAATAAATCTACCAATTCGGTGCATTGTACAGCCAATAGTTAAACGTTTGGTCAATCTGACACACGAGGCTTCAAATCGAACATAGGAAATGGGTGGCCCAGTTGTATAAGGTGTAGTATTCGCTGTGAGTTACGTCCCCTTATGCGTACGAGATCCTCTGGTCACGGGTTCGAATCCCGAATTCGCCCTTATTTTGTTTCATGCCTTATGCCTGTGATAGTGAGTTTCACCAAAGTGACAGTCAACAGCTATACCTTTGGATTTTCCTCCCAAATTAAGCAGATAGACTGTTGCAACTGGAATATTGTTCAAGGCGCGTTAGTTATAAGCGTATACTCTCATTTAAGAAACGATAGATACACTCTGACTGAGTCCAGGTGTATATTTCTATTGTTATTCTGGTAATGATAAAGGTATACATGATAATACTTAAATTTGTAAGAGAGAATACAATATTCCAGCTATATGATGGCGGTCTGTAAATAATCGAGTCTGGACCAGACAATCCAGTGATTGACATCATGGGCATCGATCCACGCAATTGGAATACGATGACATGCATCAACCAAGTCAGCGAGCCTGACCAACCGATCCCGTTAGTCGCCTCCTACAAGCCCAGTCGCCTTTCACGGCAGGCATGGGTTGCTGAAGATCTATTCTACTCCGGATCTTCCCGGGATGTTACTGCGCGTAATACTGACATGTCACATTGACATAAACAAGGAACATAAAATGACAAGACAGGAAAGACAGCTGAGGACGTTCTTCCTGTTAGTTGTACAAGATAACTACAGTTGAAACCGAAATCACACTGCTATCTAATTCGCACAGTGGGTAGCTAGACAAAATGTATGATGTATATCAAATGCCACTCAAATGAGCGAACGTGCGAAAAGTCTACTGCAGTGTGAATGTAAATACAAATGAATGAGTTCACACAAAAAATATGCGATTACATTTGCAGTTAATATGTTATTTTCTTCGAATAAACCCTATTCCAACAATATTACATACACTGTCAATAGTGAAAAAGTAATATGTGAGGTGAGGTGAGGTGAAATGGGGTTTAACGTCGCGTCCAAGATTATTGCACTTATATGGCGACGTGCATGCACGTGTGTGTGTGTGTGTGAATACCCTACTCAGACACAGTATACTGACTCCGAGCCGACCAGTCCTTGGTTTGGCCCCTTAATGCCGAGCGCCAGACAGGGTAACAACAAGTACCATCTTTTAACGTATTTTGGTATGACGCGGCCGAGGATCGAACCCCGGACCTTCCGCTCTCCAGGCGGACGCTCTACCACTAGACCACGGAGGCGGTCCAGTAATATGTGGCTTCAATTTCAAAACGTTGGGTCATCTAAGTCAGAGGGTGCAATTTGGAGCTTATGTGGGTCAAACATTTGTGACCAACACTTACACATAAAGGAAACAACACAATTCCTTAATAAATCTGTTAAGCTCGTCTCGAACATCATAGTTAAAACTCAACTATTTCACTGGGCAAAAGTTTATTTTATGTTGTGTTACGAATGCATTGTACAGCCTAGAAACGCCAATAAAGAAAAAAACAGTTATCCAAATACAGTAGTTGATAAATACAAATAATTATGTGTGGTCTTTTGGCAGGGTGAGAGTTTGTCCTTCAACTTATCCATTGAAGACAGGAGAATGTGTACATCCAAAGAGTTATATTGAAAAACAAGATACAGCACAGTATTAACAAAATGACATCAAAACGTCCTTGGTTTCATACACAGTCACGAGTGACAACCATGTCCACGCCTGTAGTCCATTAAATGGTGAATCAGTAATATGTGGCTTCAATTTCAAAACGTCCTTGGTTACATACACTGTCACGAGTGACAACCATGTCCACGCCTGTAGTCCATTAAATGGTGAATCAGTAATATGTGGCTTCAATTTCAAAACGTCCTTGGTTACATACACTGTCACGAGTGACAACCATGTCCACGCCTGTAGTCCATTAAATGGTGAATCAGTAATATGTGGCTTCAATTTCAAAACGTCCTTGGTTACATACACTGTCACGAGTGACAACCATGTCCACGCCTGTAATCCATTAAATGGTGAATCAGTAAGATGTGGCTTCAGTTTCAATACGTTGGGTTATCTAAGTCAGAGGGTGCAATTTGGAGCTTTTGTGGGTCAAACATTTGTGACCAACACTTACACATAAAGGAAACAACACAATTCCTTTATAAATCTGTTAAGCTCGTCTCTAACATCATAGCTAAAACTAAACTGGGCAAAAGTTTATTTTTCTGTAGTGTTACAAATGCATTGTACAGCCTAGAAACGCCAATAAAGAAAAAACGGTTATCCAAATACAGTAGTTGGTAAATGCAAATCATTATGTGTGATCCTTTGGCAGGGTTTGTCCTTCAACTTATCCATTTTAGACTGGAAAATGTGTACCTCCAAAAAACAATATACGGCATAGTATTAACAAAATGACATCAGAACAGCCTAGTTTAAAACGGAAACGTGTCTCTGGCATCAGTGCGTCTCTTTTTATCCTATTTTTAATCCAAAAAAATATTTTCATACATTTCCTTCCTGACATGAAGCAGTTTCTGTTATCTTTGCTTGATAACTGACGTTGTATGATAGAGCCGAGTTTAGAGTGTGATCAGTTGTGCGATGTATCCTAGGATATTCTCAAGCAATATTTCCTGTGGAAGCCATTTTGGGATGATACATTCTCATAACACGATGAATACAAACCATAGAAAGTCATAACAGTTTACTTAAGAGGTTATTTAACAACACGTTGACAAGGATAACGTAGGTGTGATCTGAAAATTGACAAACATCCCATTCTTGTTATTAATCATCTGTTTGGTGTAAAAAAATTAGAAATTCTCGATCATTTGTTACCATTATACACTGAATATGTTGTCTAACACGGTAGAGAGCTACAGGTCTAACTCGCCTGATCCTGGTTTGTTTCGTGACATGTTCTTTCTTAGCATCTTTACTACTAAATTGTGCCCTGTTTGACCTGAATTATCCATGCAGAATAACGATAAATTGGTATTCATCTTAAACAGGAAACAAAGAAACAAATAAAACAAATAGAAGCTCCAACCCACAGTCCACTTCACAGTCCACCCCAGCCCATAGTCCACTTCAAAGTCCACTCAACTTCACAGTCCACCCCACCTCACAGTCCACTTCACAGTCCATATCACAGTCAACTTCACAGTCCACTTCACAGTCCATATCACAGTCAACTTCACAGTCCACTCCACAGTCCACTTCACAGTCCACTTCACAGTCCGCATCACAGTCCACTTCACAGTCCACCCCACATTACATTCCACCCCACTTCACAGTCCACTTCACAGTTCACCCCACATTACATTCCACCCCACTTCACAGTCCACTTCACAGTCCACCCAACTTCACAGTCCACATCACAGTCCACAACTCCTCACAATCCACCCCACTTCACAGTTCACCCCACATTACATTCCACCCCACTTCACAGTCCACTTCACAGTCCATCCCACTTCACAGTCCACATCACAGTCCACATCACAGTCCACTTCACAGTCCACATCACAGTCCGCTTCACAGTCCACTTCACAGTCCACCCCACATTACATTCCACCCCATTTCACAGTCCACTTCACAGTTCACCCCACATTACATTCCACCCCACTTCACAGTCCACTTCACAGTCCACCCCACTTCACAGTCCACATCACAGTCCACCACTCCTCACAATCCACCCCACTTCACAGTCCACTTCACAGTTCACCCCACATTACATTCCACCCCACTTCACAGTCCACTTCACAGTCCACATCACAGTCCACCACTCCTCACAATCCACCCCACTTCACAGTCCACTTCACAGTTCACCCCACATTACATTCCACCCCACTTCACAGTCCACTTCACAGTCCACTTCACAGTCCACCCCACATTACATTCCACCCCACTTCACAGTCCACTTCACAGTCCACCCCACATTACATTCCACCCACTTCACAGTCCACTTCACAGTCCACTTCACTGTCTTCACCTTCCGACTTGGGTTGTTTCTGTACGACGCTGTACACATCACAGGCAACGGCCTCCGCTTCAAGAAACAATGGTAATCTAATTTTGTAGTTACCAACAACATCCTACTTCAAAAAGTTAGTATGTACATGTACACATATGTGTATAATTTGGTTACTGATGTTCAATGTATAAATAACTATTACAACCATAGTCCAAGAACGTATATCAAAGACACAATGACTCATTAATGAAACTTTAATTAATTAAAAACGCAGATTGATCATAGTATTTTTGTTTTTCAGTCACTGGATTGTCTGGTCCAGATTCGATGATTTACAGACCGCCGTCAAATATCTGGAATGTGATAGGCTACTAACCTTCACATTATGATCCTAAGACATGATATCCACAAAGGAGGATCCTAAGACATGATATCCACAAAGGAGGATCCTAAGACGTATTATCCACAAAGGAGGATTCTGAGACATGATATCCACAAAGAAGGATCCTAAGACGTAATATCCACAAAGGAGGATTCTGAGACATGATATCCACAAAGAAGGATCCTAAGACGTAATATCCACAAAGGAGGATTCTGAGTCATGATATCCACAAAGGAGGATCCTAAGACGTAATATCCACAAAGGAGGATTCTGAGTCATGATATCCACAAAGAAGGATCCTAAGACGTATTATCCACAAAGGAGGATCCTAAGACATGCTATCCACAAAGGAGGATCCCAAGGCTTGATATCGACAAAGATAATTTGGTTACCGATGTTCAATGTTTTACTAACAATTACAACCATATTCGAAGACGCAATGACATATCAATGAACAAACATGCTGATTGAACATAGTCGTTCTGTTGTTTTCTGTGTGTCTGGTCCAGATTCGATTATTAACAGACCACCGTCAAATATCTAGAGTTCGGCGTTAAGCAACGATCAATCAATGTTCTTACAGAAGCCAATATAGGTACCGAGTAACAAAGGAATATGGGGGTTAGTAGCCTATCGACTTCTTCTGGACCCGTGAAGATTCCGGGGTAGAATAGGTCTTCAGCAACCCATGCTTGCCGTAAAGGGCGACTATGCTTGTCGTAAAAGGCGACTAACGGGATCGGGTGGTCAGGCTCGCTGACTTGGTTGATACATGTCATAGATCCCAATTGCAGGGATCGATGCTCGTGATATCAATCACTGGATTGTCTGGTCCAGACTCGATTATTTACAGACCGCCGTCATATAGCTGGAATATTGCTGAGTGCGGCGTTAAACAACAAACCAAACCAAAACCAAAAAAACTTCTTCTGGTGCAGTATCATAAACAAAGATACACGATGACCTTTGAAATACCAATACCACTGGAATGGCATTGCTGCGAACGTTTTGCTTGAGTATTGACTCATTAATCTGCAATAGATCAAGGTCCGTCTCCACAAAGATATCTTACTGCTTCGACTGTCGCACGTCTGTGTTAGTGTATGGGAGTGACCACAGCCCTAGCGCTTAGGTCGTTTGGTGGAGTGGGTGAGTGAGTGAGTATGGTTTTACGCCGCTTTTGGCAATATTCCAGCAACATCACGGCATGGGACACCAGAAATGGGCTTCACACATTGTACCCATGTCGGGAATCGAACCCGGGTCTTCAGCGTGACGAGCGAACGCTTTAACCACTAGGCTACCCGACCGCCCGCCGCTTGGTGGAACTGGACCTGGTATGTGATGGTTTTCATCTGGTAACTTTGTCTACATGGATACCGTCTCTATCTCTGCACTTAACCTTTTCGTATGTTGGGAAGTAAGCACCATGGAATTGTATCTCAGTTACAATGAAAAAATAGCCCAACATGAAAAACATTTGTATATCACGTGCCCTTACCATATGAGTTTGATTTGAACCAACCAACCGTCGACAGCGTGAACTGAGATGACATGCCGTTGACATGATACCAACACATGACATCAGTTCCTCGCAGCCACATAATGTACAACATTTGTCTGAATTTTATTGAGCTTCAGGACCAACATCCAATACTGAGGGTTTGTTGGTTGGTTGGTTTGTTGCTTAACGCCGAACTCCGCAATATACCAGCTATATGACGGCGGTCTGTAAAGAATCGTGTCTGGACCAGACAATCCAGTGATTAACATCATGACCATCGATGTACGCAATTGGAATACGATATTCAAATTTCGATAAAATCAAAACTACATGATACATGGTGGATTTAAATAAAATCATCTTGGCACTCAGATTGTGTAAAGGAAGAAAAGAAACATGCAGCTTCCAATGAACAAACTTTGGTGAATGGAATTCATGAACGTTTAAAGGCTGACGAATCGTTTTCGGCCAGAATATATTCATTTAACCAGTTTCCCTGCGACTCACCATTCAGTGTTGATGAACGCTGTTTATCCGGGATGGCGTATATGTCTGTAACCTCCTGAGATGTACCAGGGGACGCCTGGGGGTCTGAAGGAGAAAGTATTCAGTACAACATGAGACATGTTTACAAATGAATCAGTGCCAATGATTAAAAAACAGTGTAAGAGACTGGCCACGTATTCCTTCAAAATAGACCTTTGGATCAAATGTTCAAATTTCAATAAAACATACTTGATGGATTTAAATAAAATCTTTTCCTCAGAATTAGTACAGAAAAGATACAGGACCCTTCCAATGAATAAACTTTGGTCAATCGAATTTGTGAATGTTTAAAAGCTGACGAATCGTTTATCAATACAACAGGAATGTCCAAGCATACAGCTATAAGTTTATTAAATGAGTGGGCGGGGTTTTCCCCGGTTTTAGCCACAGAACGACGGTGGACACCAGACATGGGGTTGCAACATTATGGCCACGTGGGGAATCTTGCAGCTATTAGCGGCGAAGTAAGCAATCAAACCCGGGTCTTTGGATTGAAGATTCAACGCTTTGACAACCAGGCTACCACACCTCCCCCTTGTCATATATACCATAGACTCACCCTGGGTGCTGGCTGTCTGTCTGGCCCCACCTATCAGGAAACAGTGACGTCCCAAAACCTCCCCCTTGTCATATATACCATAGACTCACCCTGGGTGCTGGCTGTGTGTCTGGCCCCACCTATCTGGGCATAGTCCACGTCCCCACAGAAGCTGCTGTAGATGGGATTACCCACCCTTGTCATATATACCATAGACTCACCCTGGGTGCTGGCTGTCTGTCTGACCCCACCTATCAGGACATAGTAACTTCCCCATACCTCCCCCTTGTCATATATAGTAGCTGCTGTAGATGGGATTACCCACCCTTGTCATATATACCATAGACTCACCCTTAGTGCTGGCTGTCTGTCTGGCCCCGCCTATCTGGACATAGTGACGTCCCCACACCTCCCCTTGTCATATATACCATAGACTCACCCTTGGTGCTGTCTGTCTGTCTGGCCCCACCTATCTGAGCATAGTGACGTCCACACACCTCCCCCTTGTCATATATACCAAAGACTCACCCTTGGTGCTGGCTGTCTGTCTAGCCCCACCTATCTGGACACAGTGACGTCCCCACACCTCCCCCTTGTCATATATACCAAAGACTCACCCTTGGTGCTGGCTGTCTGTCTGGCCCCACCTATCTGGGCATAGTGACGTCCCCACACCTCCCCCTTGTCATATATACCAAAGACTCACCCTTGGTGCTGGCTGTCTGTCTGGCCCCACCTATCTGGGCATAGTCCACGTCCCCATCGTAGCTGCTGTAGATGGGATTACCCACCATCACTGCAAAGTGGATGGGGAAAATTACCTCAACGAAATATTGAAATTGATATTGACAGAGGAAAAAAAGAAAGAAAGTTTCTTGCATTTGTTGATATTGGTTTACAGTTTTGTCATGTATAGATTGTATCCCTCTTTAATAAAACACTTCAAAATTGAATATGTGATATAATAATCTCGTATTTATATGTACTGACCAGCATCTTCTCTCTGTTCCGGATCTTGATTTCTGATAAGTTAAATGTGTATGATTACATCATATTCGGTTTGTGTTGACATACAACATGAACAAATCAATTCAGTTAAAACCTGTTGGAATAAGATTGTTTAAAATGCAGAGATGTCGCATTATTTAAATTGAACTGCCTTTGGTTTAGTTTACTTTGTTATATTAGCACACTAATAAATCTACGACGCCGCATTTCATTGTGATCATGGGTTCGAATCCCTATGTTTCTAGGTTTGTCAACACCATACCCGTGTTCGTGGTTTCATTTCAGTGGTAAACGTCTGCGACCTGCACAGCTTCAGCCTTCCGACCACATCAAGCTGGCACTCTGTTACATAACTGAATCGGGGGAACGGGTGGCCCAGTCGTCTAAGGCGCCGCGATTCGCTGTGCAGAGATGCGTCCCTTGGGCACGCCAGAAACCTAGGATTGTGGGTTCGAATCCCGGTTCGCCCCGATTATGTTTCTAGGTTTGTCAGCACCATACCCGTGCTCGTGGGTTTTACCGAAGTGGTAAACGTCTGAGACCTGCATCACTTCGGGCTTTCCTCCCACATTAAGCTGACACGCCGTGATATAACTGGAATACTGTTAAAAGCGGCGTTAAATCCAACTCACATACTCACTCACTCACATAACTGAATCATTTGTTATTTTGTTTTTTAAAACATAATTATGTATTAGTGGTGGATAAGGATCTTGCACTGTCTGTACCATGCTGATATTCGAGTCTCAGACAACAGCAACAACGTTCATTTTATGCAGACAATCCATGACATAACATATCCTTCGCTCTTTCAATCCTTTCTTTAATTAAATAAAGTGACAAAACCACTCCCACAATCATATGAAACTTCCACTAAAGGTAGAGTCCATCATACGTTTCCGACATTATCATCAGCATGTATTATTAAACACTGTAAACAGTGATGATGCCAGGTGTTCGCGAAAAGATGAAGAAATACCTAAAAATACATACCTGGGATGACCTTTGACAGGCCGCTCAGTAGCTAAGGAAGAATGAATAGTACAGCATTGGATTCATATCATTCAAACAACATGCGCCAATACCTACGTCACTGATCGCTACGGTATAACTACAACTTGTATGTACTAGGTAATATGCATAAAACATTTATTTATTTTGTAAATTTTTGGCATTAAATGTTTTGCTATTGGAGCAAATATGATTCAAGAAAAACAAATTCCCTGAACGATGATATAAACTGATAACATCAGTTCATTATCACCTCTCGAGAGGTCATAAACGATATTTGGGATACTGATGTCCCATTCGCCCAAAGGCACCGGAGTTCTGTGTGCAGAGTTGCGTCGCGTAGGCTTGCCAGGAACCTGTGGCCTTGGGTTCGAATCCCGGTTCCTCCTCATTATTTGTCTAGTCGGTTCGAATCCCTGTTTCCAGGTTTGCCAGCACCATATCCCTGCTCGTGGGCTTCACCAAATTGGTAAAAACCTAAGACCTGCATCACTTGGCTTCCCTCCCACATCAAGCTGACACACCATGATGCAACTGCCATACAGTTCAAATCAGCATTTACCCAAACACACTAAGTCTAACGAATTCACTTCGCCACTACTTGCTACTGACATACACGGCTTCTTATATGAAGATGGAGTGCCGGTGTCCCTGTATAAACTCTCCCCCGTACAAATTCTCCCCCCGGAGATTTTATACCGGTACAGATTCTGAAATAAAATCTCCCCCGGGCGGATATGTTTCGCGCCCCCCTCAGTATAAAGTCTCCCCCCTGATTATTCGGTTTGTTGCAATGTCTTTAAGTACTATATTCTTTAAATAGTTATCTTTAATGTAAGGAGGGTTACTTTAAAAAATAGATTATGAAATATGGTCATAATGAATGGATATTTCGGCATATTTAATTTGGTAACTGTACCTTCCATCCTAAAATAATTATAAGACATAATCATACCAAACAAATTTGAATGAAATGACTTAATGTTACAAATACATTTACGGTTACTGTTGTAACAGAATTCAGAAATCTTATTAATCCTCGCAAACATTCGGTTTTAACACTAACTACGTAAAAACTGTCAATATATCCACGCGCGCCTCCAGCCCAGGCTGTCCGTTAATACTCTGATTTTAGATCTAAAATATATTCCTTAATACAGGCTACGATATGAAAATGGTATCAGTGTAATATCAGTGGCTAGAATATCATGGTACAAGCAGGTTTCTGTTAAACATATAACATCATAACTATCTAATTCAGCACTGATAAAATCTACTTTGTCTTTAAGACTGCGTACGTTTAGATTCATAATCTTTAAATCTGGACTATGCAAAGGTCCTGGATTCGGATGGATATCACCGCAGCAGAAGAGAAAAAGTAAATCTAAGAATGATAATCGGAAATTATATAAGCAAAGAAACCCAAAATATAGAGAAATGTGTATCATCTTCCCGAAATGATTAGCATGTAGAATAGATTCAAAAACACCAACTATCAGCCTATATTGAACAACATCAACCGGCATCGACAAAGCAAAGTGATACGGCAACGTATGTAAAACTGTTCGAAGCGGCGTTGAACCAAACCCAACTCCCTCACTCACTCTCTTGTGAACAGTACAGTACTTACAGCCATCGGTTTGCCTCTGTTTCCTTGATCGGAGTAAGCAGCAGACGGTGATGACGGCAGCAAGTAGAACCAGAGCGCCGCCAATGGTTCCGCCAAGCAGGGGCAGCATGGAGTTTACGGGGGGTGTTTGGGGATTTGTAGAGTCTTCGGTTCTTTCATTCTTAAACCCTGTGCTGCTTGTATCCGTTACAGAGGTTGTAGGTTCATTTGTTGAGTGAGTAGATCCGGGGGCAGTGGACGTAGTAGTGGCTTGAGCTGCTGATGTTGATGTCACTTTTGCCCTTGGTGACGATGACGTAGTCGTTGTTACTTCAGTTGTTTGTTCTAAGACGTTCACAAGACATGGCACTATGAGTCAGTGCCAAGGTTAGCAATATTACAGCTATATTACGGCGGTCTGTAAATAATCGAGTCTGGACCAGACAATCCAGTGATAGATATTATGAAGTAAGCCAAGGATATTGACATATTTCAGTGTAGACATTATGTTGATTAATTTGTCATAATTTTTAATCAAGTTACATGTTGGAGAGGCAATTGGTTCACCACAATGTGACATAGCTTCGTCTAAATGGATTCGTCGATACTTTGTATTCGATAGGGTAAAAGCAAAGTTCATTTTGTTTGGATATAATATTATCATCAGAGGCAGATGGAGATGAAGTTGATTAGTTTTCCTGAGGATGTTGTTTCGAGGGTTTTTTTGGAAGAAATATAAAGACATATGTCAGAGGGAATAAAGCACTCTACATTCCAACAAATCATGTTATCAAGATGGTTACGTCATTTATCGGTCAACTGAGATTCCAGAGTAAGACAAAAGTCGAGTAATTGAATTACTCTTACTACAATTTGCTACGGAAATCGACACTACACGTGCTTCCTTCATGTCTGATTCCAGTGTAAAGACATGAGATGGGGAGGATCTGATAAGAGCTAGCTTATTTGACTTTGCATTTTACATTTGGACATCAAAGATAAAACACTAATAAGATAGGATTGTCTTATAGTACCTGCAGACCGTGCCAAAACATTGACATCGATGCTTCTGGTTACTCCTTGTATTTGACACTTCCAATTTCCTTCGTGCACCTTGCTGATGTTGGAGATTTTGAGGGCATGTTTTCTGCAGTTTGTACTTCCCAATGACAGCTCTGACCGACGTGGATTCCCGTAGCGTATCTTGCATCCTTCAGGACCCTCAAACATATCCACAACATATCCATCGATGTCTGGCATATACCAGATGGCTGCCTTCTTACTTACCCCTTCACACTCTAAAATAACATCACTTCCCGCTTCACCTGTATGGGGGTGTCCGTAGATGTCACCGAGAAAGCAATAAAAACTCCATATGTATATTATGTATCATGTGATGACATTATGGGAAATACGTCATAGCAATCGTTTAACATCATGTGTACAAAAAATCATTTCCATCAAACTTAAACATGCAGACGGACAGGCCCATAAAGACGCGTGGGGTCAACAATGAAAGTCACAGTCCTTACACAAGACGAGGCAAGTGTGTAAAATGTCAGAATACTAATCATAATGTCACGTGATATCGGGTATGTCCACCTTGAGCATTAATGCACGCCAGAACATGTCGACGGGCCATTGACGTGCCGATGAAGTTCTGCGTCAACCATGCCGTATGCTGCGTTGCATTGTCGTGCTGGAAAATGATTCCACGAGGCTGTTGCTGGATGAATGGCTCGACAACTGGTCGCAAAATTTCATCTCGATATCGCTGTGATTGGTGGTACCATGAGTCGCCATTAGGCGGAAATAATGCCGATGCGACGTTAGATTTTAACTCACTCACTCATGTTAGCATGGATAACCACGACACTCTCCTACCCAGAGTTCTATAGTACCTCTGCCAAAGGCCAGCGTCATGTGACGATTCGTCAAATCTTACACAGTCCATTCAAGATATTGCATATGCTTTTCATCCGTTTCATGTTTGACAAGTCTACACATTTTCAGAAACAAATGTCAAAGAATGGTTACAGTTCATTAAGAAAGTATCCTAATACGCCTCTAATGCCAATCCTCCACCTACTATATATACTCGGTACAATGTCCCTCTTTCAGTCTTGCTTGACAACGGTATAAGGATCTATACCGAAACGTCGCTTTTTACAGTAGTAAAGAAGTTGTTATCCATAAAATTGTGTCTACCAAGACTGAATGAGTGTTGCTCAGTGACGTTAACGTCAGGTTTCTAATTTTATTACCTCCCCTGAAAGAACGTCGAGAAGAGCCATTGAAGAAACTATTGGAAGTAAGAAGCTGCAAAGGTGAAATCAAGATCAACATTTACAATGTCGACATAATCATAATTTTGTTAAATGGTATAAGCAAGGCAGCCATATTGAAAATCAGATTGAAATCTCTTGAAAAAATTAGGATTTCCTCATTGGTGGAAACAAGTAGGTGTAGATTCTGCTTCAGGTGAGCTTAAAACTTACGTTCAATTACTGTAGACGTTCCATCCACTCCATATATCCAGAAACACGCCCATGACATGATTCCAAAAAAGACACAGGTTGTTCGAATATACATCATGTTGAAATGGCAGTGTTTCACCATATATCTTTGTGTTGATATAAGCGACAAATATCAATACCACAGTACGATCCCGACAGTACCACGACCATGCGCCCACGAATCATCAGCACACAGCGACGACACCAGGCGCTCGCGGAAAGGCGGGAAATGACAAGGGAATTCCGTGTGTGAGTGGCCAAGTATGCAAGACACGGTACGTTACAAACTATATCCGGAACAAGGTCTATTTTAAAGTGATCACTAGAACGTGGTAATGGCGGTTGTTACAACTTCCTTATATAAGAGTTCACATATTTAACTATAATTTATAAACAATCTCTCATGTTTGATTGTCCATCACAATTTAATTTCCAGTTTCGTTTTATCTTTCGCTTATGGACGATGGGTCATGACCTAACAGGCTTATACTACTGACGCAATCATGTGGGTGTGGAGTCGTATCTTTGTGCTTCTATATTTGCGGATATTTGCCATTGTAAAGGTGGCTCCTTCAAAACACAGGAAAAACTTGCTTTTAGGTTTTAATAAAGAAAAACCTATTCTAAAACCTTCAAAGTAAAATCTTGCAATTAAGGGAATAGTTGTTGAAGATGAAAAAGAAACAGGGCTGACAAGTTTTTTTCGAATCACGCAATTATTTGAAACTGAATGACAGACAGGACCATGAAGGTTAATCCTCCGCTTTCGGCTCATCATTAACCGGATGAATATCCCGATAGCTTCGGTAATGTGGCATGAACAGATGTAATCGTTGACATTTCCAGGTTGAACACGCCTTCTTGCACAGGAGTGAGTGTGTGATTGACTTGTGTTTAATGCCGCTTTTAACAGTATTCCAGTTATATCATGGCGTGTCAGCTTAATGTGGGAAGAAAGCCCGAAGTGATGCAGGCCTCAGTCGTTTACCACTTCCGTGAAATCCACGAGCACGGGAATGGTGCTGACAAACCTAGAAACATAATCGGGGTGAACCGGGATTCGAACCCACAATCATGGGTTTCTGGCGTGCCCAAGGGACAGAACTCTGCACAGCGAATCGCAGTTATTTAGACGACTGGGCCACCCGTGCCCCCTTCTTGGAGCAGGAGCCCTGAAATAGAAACATATATATACTGAACAACAAAAGTTCCTGTGACACCAATATTTTAGTGTATTTTTCAAACAAGTAAAATTTAGTTTTCAATATTGTAGTGTATGTATGGAATCAAGTCACAAAAGGCAACTGCTACAGAAAAGCATGCATTCCATGAAAAAGTTGACTTTTATGCAAGCCCCATGCATTTCACTACCCAAGAATGGGTATAAAACCATGTGCGTTAGCGGGACTCCATATGCATTGTTTAGCATCGTGCTGACAACAACCACTCAGAAAAACAACAAAATTACGCAATTATTCAACATTACGAAATGCCACGCCTGTTCGAAAATGAGCGTCTGCGAGCCATTGGTATGCTTGAAGCAGGATCGAGTCAACGTGATTTTGCAAGACAAGTTAACGTCCACAGAAGCACCATTTGGTGTTTATGGCAACATTGGCAACAGACGAATGCAGTCAGAGACTATCCTCGGAGTGACAGGCCACACGTAACCAATAATTGACAAGGCAAGTGGATTCGAACAACACACCTACGAAATCGATTCCAGCCAGCAACAGTGACCGCAAGAAGCATCCCTTGCGTTCGACGAATATCTTCACAAACCGTACGTCGCCACCTCAGATGTGCAGGGATTGTCGCCACAAGACCCGCCAGACATCTCATTTTAACAGGAAACCACCGTCAAGCACGTCTACAGTGGTGCAGATAGCGTCTACGATGGACGGCCATACAATGGGCACAAGTTCTATTCACTGACGAGTCTCGGTTTCACCTCAGCCACTGCGTTGGACGGATTCGAGTGTACCGACGTCGAGGTGAACGTTACGTCAATCATTGTGTCATGGAAGAAGATCGGTTCGGGGGCGGCAGCCTTATGGCATGGGATGGGATTCCAGCAAGAAAGAGGATCCTCTCCAACAAAACAAAGTGCATGTCATCCCCTGGCCGGCTCGCTCCCCTGATCTCTCACCAATCGAGCACATGTGGGATGAGATGGATCGGCGCTTTCGACTTCAACCACATGTTCCACAGACAATCCAGGAACTTCAAAACATGCTCCAGTAGATATGGACAGATACTTCACAGGACTTTGTGCGACGCCTGGTCCATTCCATGAGACGAAGATGTGTTGCTTGCATCGCAACCAGAGATGGACACACAAGCTACTGATTTTATTAATTGTCATTTTGGCATGTTCATGCTTTTTATGAAATCACGCATTTTCTGAAGTCAGTATGGCAAATTAAACCATTTGAACACTTACAGGAGTCTTTTATCTGTTGCAAACCGAAATTGTTTCAGATTTGGTAAAAAACATAAATCTTTTAATAAAATCTTATTCAATGTCACAGGAACTTTTGTTGTTCAGTATAGATTGATCCCTAATATCACTCAGCATATTCCAGTTGTTTAATAGGAATGTACGTGTATGTACTCTTCCCGTGATCTAACGGACAATTAACGCCAATATCTAATGCAGCCTGATCCTTCAAGTCACAGATGAAATACTGGCTAATGTTAATGCCAGTATTTTATCTGTGACGTGAAGGATCCACCTGCGATTTGGAACAATTCCATCTCTCTCGCACACCCAAAAGCCTACCCAGTGTATGATAACTCTATTCTACTACGGTCAGTACCATGGACAGTTGTGTTAAATGTATAAAACTATCAAAAGAAATGTCAAATCCTCGAAACAAGCAGACCGAACAATATGACGGGGTACAATGGAGCGGGTAAACGTTCATGGAGGATTCTTGGAGGGTTTTGAACAAAGACCGGTGGCAGTCCGCTCTCTACATACGCTGTGGGCTATAGATGGTCCGCCTCATGAATGAATGTATCAAAGCCGGGGTCTTTCCGCTTTGGTATTGTAGTTCATAGGTCATCCGTGTCATGAATGAATGTATCAAAGCCGGGGTCTTTCCGCTTTGGTATTGTAGCTCATAGGTCATCCGTGTCATGAATGAATGAATTAAAGTCGGTGACTTTCCGCTTTGGTATTGTAGCTCAAAGGTCATCCATGTCATGAATGAATGTATCAAAGCCGGTGACTTTCCGCTTTGGTATTGTAGCTCATAGGTCATTCTATCAGCTGATGACGGATGCGGACTATGTGACTATGTGGGAAGGTTCAATCACGCCGACATCTTAAAAGATGCAAATGACTTTATGAGGTCCGAGGGGCTCGTATTTCATGAGATCTATAGCCTCAAATACGAAACTCTAGAATGGCAACAGAGAAGAAGAATTCCTACACAGGTTACTAAAAGGACTGAACTTGAAGTTGGATGTATACTTTGTGTGTGTAAATAGAAACAAATCAGCTTGTATGTATGTTATGCTGACAAAGTATTGTAACTGTATATAATTAAAAATCAACCTCTTTCATGTGGATTGTGCAAATAGTGTACAGTGTGATCAGTGATAACTACTACAATCTACAATGTCTCGATTGTATTCACATACTTGGGTGAGATACCATGATAAACTTGATGACAATAGCATTGTTTGATTATGAGATATTGTGTTATGCTGACAAATAGAGAATCTCACCAGAGTGTCTTTTGATATCAAATATATCAATAAAAGTGGGAAAATTTCGAGGCTTGCCGAGGATTTTTGCCACTTTTATCAACGAGTGTTGATATATTTGATGTCAAAAGACACGAGGGTGAGATTTTATTTATCATCCAACATCATTCTTCCAACTTTTTCAGTTTGTAGACAGTTATAAGCAGTGTCTTCAGTGTAAAGAGTACTGCTTACAGCTTCAGTAGCAGAGCCATTAGTGATGTCATTTGATTTTGATGTCATGGTAACCAGTGACGTCACAATGGTCTGCAAAGCATTGTGATATTATTTCATTGAAGCGATATCTACAGTGTAGATATCGCTTGATCTCACCCAAGCGATATCTCCTGCGGGAGCCAGTTTTGGATGATAAAGTATTATAACTGTATATAATTAAAAATCAACCTGTTTCATGTGGATTGTGCAAATAATCTACAAGTATCGATACTTAGTTGAGATACCATGATAAACGTGATGACAATAGCATTGTTTGTTTATGAGAAAATCATGTTTTGAATGAAGTGCTAATAAATTCAGATGATGTTTCCCCTTTGCCTGTTGTCCTTGATCTACCCTGAAATGTGTTTGTGATGCAATGACACCTATGAGCGTTGTTGTTTCAAGAGCTGCCACAGACCCATTAGTTTCCCAATGGTGGAGTTAGTTTTGATATCTCGCAAAAGTTGTCAAAGTATATCGTCCGATTTATTATGGACACTCGCCATTCCATGATTGTAGACGTGTTCATCTTTAGTCGTTGCATTAGATGCCGATGATGATGATGATGATGATGATGATGATGATGATGTAGTTGGTTCATCCTTAGTCTCTTATGTGTGATATTGTTGACTGCAGATCCACCTGACTGACTTTCACTGTCTTTTGTCAGCAAAATAGATGTCGGTTTACAGTGGGGTGGAGGACTGGTGGCCCTCTTATGGGTCAGCCTTTGATAAGTTTCTCGTGTAAGTAATATCATAGGCTTCATCCTCTGAAGGGGCGGTCGGGTAGCCTAGTGGTTAAAGCATTCGCTCGTCACGCCGAAGACCCGGGTTCGATTCCTGACATGGGTACAATGTGTGAAGCCCATTTCTGGTGTCCCCCGCCGTGATATGGCTGGAATATTGCTTAAAGCGGCGTCAAACCTCACTCACTCACTCACTCACTCACTCACTCACTCACTCACTCATCCTCTGAACCTGTTTCATCCTTATCACGGGGGGAAAATGTAATGGTGAGATGTCAGGAGCTCCAGCTTGTGTGCAGAACGAGGATTAGACATTAAAATGAATATATGAGTATTTAAATTCAATATGCGCGAACCAGGACCCTTGGGGTAAGCGCTTTGCTGGAGATTAAGTTCAACGATGCCTATATGACGGGAAAGGGTGGTATACAAGGTGATCATCAATTTACTCGCTGAAATGTCCATCATAAGATCCATCATAAGATCATCCAACACCAAAATCATGTTTTTGTCGGTCAAGTAATCTTTTCCACTCCACGTACCTGGTAATTGTAGTAGGTGCTGCAAACGTCCCTAAGCATTTCGATTTCATGTTGACACTTCGGTTGTTGAAGTATAACATACAGACTTGCATAAACCCTATTTTGGGCCTCATTTGAGAATTTCACTTGAATTTTGGGTGGTAGCGCACCCACCCAAAGAGTTACTTCCCTTTGACCATTATCATTATTTCACTTTCTTACATATGCGTCCATTCAACAGTCGCTTGACAATCGCTTTGATAGCTTTGATTTGTCTTCTGGTCATACCACGTATGTCATCGTGTGTCTCGTCATAATCATTTTGTAGAATGAGCTGTCTTAGAAAATTAAAATGTTGCAGCACGTATCTGGCCATTCTCGATCGAAAATTACTTCATAAATGACATGGAACTTAACGGTTCCTCCTTAAATAATGTGACAAACCTGGTGAAACATTTTCAACATTTTATTCTATTCTAGTGTTATTTGGTTACAATACAGAGAGAGGAGCGCGTAAACTATTATGATGTACAAAGAGCTTGGTTAGGTAAACAGTATTTGAAATAGTTGCAGATGTATCATGATACGAACATATCATTTCGTAGTATATCTGCACTAAACCTAGACACATTGTCGATCAAAGAGTCTCTACAGTTTTAAGCAAGAAAAAGAAACAGTAAAATCCATACGTTGATTGTTGGATTGCTTTCGTGTTGTGCCGATAGTGACAAGAATATTTCTTTATAAATTGAGTGAATTCCCGGTTATTATAATCTGGTTTGTGATTACTATCAAAGAAATCTGCAACATGGTTTTCATAATAGAAAGCAACCCAATGGTGTCCCCGCAAACGCGTCACTTCCGTGTTGACCACACATCCCCAAGTTGTGATGAGGAGAGTAAGGTATTTCCTGAGAACACCCCGACTATATGTCTGCGAAGACTCGGATGACTCTGATTGGCACACAGCAGTTCATTTTTGTTTTGTTTGTTTTTTACTTCAGAAACACGTTTGTGCTTTGATCAATTTCAAAGTTCGGGAACTTGGCTGGGGTTACAATATTGAAAGTGTGGGTTAGGAACTGGGAGAACTGTACTTCCAGACGGAGATTGCCGGACCCGACCAGGTTCAGATAGTCCACATCCGTGACTGTATCTTGAAGATTGAATATGTAAAGGGAGTAGCAAGTAGAAAACTATGTGCCTTCAAAACTGAGGCCTTTGTCTTTTCGCAATGTATTGTTCCAGTTATAGAGACTGGTGTAAGCTTTGATGTTGTCCATCTCGAGCGGACGTCCTGGCACACTGGTACCATTAATATAGAGACCCATGCTTTTGACAAAAGAATCATTCAAAACTGAAAGGGTTGACTGTGTAGGATCCTCGAACCCCATCGGCTTTAACCAGTGACACAATGAGTCGACTCGGCATTTCATTCAGAAACATATTGTCCCATGTGTAGGATAGCTGAGATGATGGGACTGATACCATTTTCACCATGGACCTCTTATATGGGTAGAGAGCATTTCCATTCTCGTACAGTTTGTTGTGAACAAGGATTAAGGCAGGTGTCGATGGAAATTGAACACATCTTCACAAAGAGGACCGGACAGGGTCACTGACTTGCTTCCAGATATGAAAGTTCCGCGGTTGATGAGCCCATCGTTTCCACCGACCCTTTTGATCAATTATCAAATAATGGATAGCGACGCAAGACAAGTGACACGTTCACTCTTCCTTCAGAAATGAGAGTGGCGTACCCTCTGCACACTTTATATAGATTTGAATTTTGGAGGTGTCTTTCAAAACCACTGGTATGTGACATGGGAGATGGAAATAGTAATTGGGGCCGTCTCGCAAATCAACACGTCTTAACAAAGGGACATAATCTTCTCCAACGTGAGAACTATCGCACAGATTGCACATCAGGTCTATTGTGGAATTGTCTTTCAAGCCTCGCTTCCCAAACATTAACTGTAATAAAGCCACCTACCACACTACTTCTAGCTGTATGCGTTGAGATAGCTTCACTCGGAAACAAAAGGGGGAATTTGGAAAGTAATCCTTTCTAAATAGGACATAGTTATCCATGTTTAGACGATTTTTACTTCACTTTCGGGTACCCAGCTACCTGCTTGGTAAAAGACCCTCCTTCTCTCACGCTCTTTTTCAACGCTTTTTCAATGTTCCAAACTGCGTCTAAATCTTAATCGACCTTCTGAAGCTCTTGTTCATAAAAACGTCCTCGCACAGGTTCGTCATGAAAATCTTTCAATGTGTAAAATGGTATGTAAAGTTCTGTGTTATTGTGGGTCAGATACCTAGATATTAGGGATCGTTAAGTCCTTCTGACTCTCTCTCTCCATAATTGGCTTTGATGTCTACATTTTGTGTCCCGATTAATTTGATGTCCTGGTTCTCTACATAGGACTGAAATGTACCTTTTAATTCATTTCCCTTATCCGTACGTGTCTTTTCAGAAATTCGACCCTCTGACAAAATCTTTTTTTAACCCCTCTAGCACGGTCTCTGGTTTCATATTTTTTTAAGGATGTTACTCACAAATAGCGTGACAAAACGTCAATGACTATCAATAAATATCGCACATTGTCATTGGACTTAAAATATCTGCCCACATCCATTAAATCCACATCTGCTAGTTGACTGTTGACTTGAACTCGGAAGATCGTTCGAATAGGTACCTCATGGGTTTATGAATGCTATATGCATACTGTTATTGTTTCACTCTCTTGAGAGCGTAGGTTTTAGCCCGCTTTTTCAAACTCTGTTGAAATTTAGATGACCCGTAAGGCCCTACTTTGTTTTGGAGCAAAATAGAATTGCTCCAAAATCTTTTTCTCCTTCTCACTTGAACGTGTTTCCGATTCATCCCTGATATTTTGTGACTTTTCCAACCAAATTTATTTGATTGTGTGAAATGCAAAATCTTGAAAGAAATGTGATATCTCTTCTGAAAAATTCATCAATGAGGTTTTTTTTACTTTTTCAACAGATTTGTTGTTTTTACTGAAAACCTAAAATTTGGAAAATAAATGTGATTCCTCTGCTTAAAAATGTCATCCCAGTGACTTTGTGACTTTTTGAACAAAGATTTTGTGACTTTTACAACAAAAACATTTTTTTACTGAAATTAAGAAAATAAATGTGATTCCTTTTCTGAAAAAAATCATCCCTGAGATTTTGTGAGTTGTTCGACACTCTTTTCTTTCTGACTGAAATGCAAAATTTCAAAAGAAATGATTGTGAATTCTCTTCTGAAAAATTTCATCCCTGATGTGACTTTTCAAACTAATTGTTTTGTTTTTGACTGAAATGCAGAATTTAAAAAGAAATGTGATCTCTCTTTACGATTCTAGCTCATCGTGAAATAGGAATAAAAAAGACTAAAAGGTGTAACGTACAACTTCATATTTTATTGAAAACTCTTTCCAACTGCAACATTTTTACAAGGCGTTTCCCTAACTCTGATAACCAAAGGGGAGTTTTGAAGTAAATGTCTCTATAGTCTTTGCACTGGTATTGTCACAAGGTAAACGATGAGGTAGAACATAAATTCGGATCATCGTGAATCAATTTTAACCAGGTTTCAATCATGTGATCATCGCTGACTTCGAATAAAGCCAAGTTAAAATATTGATTCACTTTTTTCGTCTGATATTTTACTGCATGTATGAATTGGCTCCCCTTCGTGTGCAACCAAACAGAATTCAGTGGACAGTCGCTTGGTGATCTTACAGAGTTCGAGTGTGTAACACACAGTCAACAAAGACTCTATATTCTGGATGACATGGACAGCTTCCACTTCATCTACCAGCACTCTTTCCAGACGTATTTTCTTCACGATGACTCGTTTGTTTGCTTTCACGGCATCTTGAAATTTAATTTTGGTATCTTGAACACACTGAGCGCGGTCTTGAAACCACTGGGATGACTGCACAATGACTGTTTCTTTGAGTTGGTCAACTTTACGCAACACACGTGTAAAAGGTGGCCTTTTCACCGGTAGTCAAAGGGGCCATGATAGGTTTGATTTGCAATCCAAACCTTTCGCGACCTTCCAGCAAGACGACGAGAAATCGAATGACCTATCCAACAAATTATCTATGCGTCTTATTGTCAATTCAAATACATTGGCTCCATGGACAATGTCGATGGTTTATCTCAACGTGTGTACGTTCTTTTGTTTCACAACACCGACCATTTTAATGTAGGGACAGTCGGGGGACCACTTTTCATGTTCTACCCATGGGTCGTCAGTGGCTTCCCATCCTTTCAGACGAATGTCCCATTTAAAACAATAGCAGCTATCAGCACGATTCAAATAGACGAATCCAGCCATATCTTCCGACGACTGGTTCATTTGTCTCGGCCAATCTTTACACGAGGATAGTCTTCTTTCAAAATAACTCCAGTCCTGTAAAACAGGCGACTTACCAGCCACAGAATCCGTACAGATATCACCCATCATCATCATTATCATCATCTTCCTTGCTCGCGTAATGTTAGCTTGTGACTGAGCGATACTAAACAATGTCAATCCATTTAAACACATGAGCAAACAGGACTCCATTGTACCCCGTCATCTCTCCATTGTTCAGTCTGCTTGTTTAGAGGATTTCATTATTCTTTTCATAGTTTTATACATCTTTCACTACTAAGGTGTTTACATAAAAAATATGCGATTATTTCAATTATGTTAATATGTTATTTTCTTCGAATAAACCCTAATCCAACAATAATACACATACCTGTAGTCCATTACATAGTGAAGTACTTATATTTGTTAGCTTTCAATTTCATAACGTTGAGTCATCGACGTCAAAGGGTGCAATTTGGAAATAATGTGGGTTAAACATTTATGACCAACACTTCCGCATAAAGGAAACAACACAATTCCTTAATAAATCTGTTAAGCTCATCTCGAACATCATAGTTAAAACTCAACTATTTCACTGGGCAAAAGTTTATTTTCTGTTGTGTTACAAATGCATTGTACAGCCTAGAAACGCCAATAAAGAAAAAAACAGTTATCCAAATACAATAGTTGATAAATACAAATCATTATGTGTGGTCTTTTGGCCAGTTGAGAGTTTGTCCTTCAACCTTATCCATTGAAGACAGGAGAATGTGTACATCCAAAGAGTTATATTGAAAAACAAGATACAGCACATTATTAACAAAATGACATCAAAACGTCCTTGGTTAAAAAAGGATGTCTCTGGCATCGGTGCGTCTCTTTTTATCCTATTTTTAATACAAAAAAAAATATTTTCATACATTTCCTTCCTGACATGAAGCAGTTTCTGTTATCTTTGCTTGACAACTGACGTTGTATTAAAGAGCCGAGTTCAGAGTGTGTTCAGTTGTGCTTGTTGGTATCCATGGTGGGAAAAAATTAAGAAGTGTTCACCCCTTATATTTTTGATTTCAATAAAAGAAATAAAAAAATAACACCACCACCTCGCTTTTGAGAACAATGAGCACGAGATACATGTATGTGTTAATACATCCTTTTTACATAGAATAGCTAGCCCAGACACAGACAAATTACCAGTATATGAACAATTTAAGTCACAAGAACATATTTGTCATAATCAACATATATTATTTGGGTTAGTTATATTTTCAAACACATACTGAATACAAAGAAACAACATATATAATATACTATTAAGCAACATATTGAAGGAGAGTCGTATTGAGTAACTAAAAGAATTAGTAACAAAAGAGCATGTGACGTCATCCATTGTGTCATGGTGTGATCACATTCCATGGTGACGTCATTGCATTTAAGAGAGACGCCATTTCTAAACTGTGTTCATGTAGAGAGAGTGTGCTTCAGGAAGCTAGTGATCACTTTTGTATCTAACAGTGAGTGAGTGAGTTAAAGCTTTACGTCACATCTCCAATATTTCAGCCATATCGTGACTTGTATCTAACAACATCAGTAACACTGGTGTATATAATTGAGGGTATTGTTGAGTATTTGATGCAAGGACAAATGAACCATTCGGAATGTATTTGAAAAAATAATACAGCATAGTATTCAATAATGACACGTGCTAATTATTAGTAACTGTGACCAAAAGCACATAATATTAAAAGCAAAATAAGCAGTTTGAGTCAAAGTATATATTTATCATATTCTACATATTCTACATACATAAAATGGGTTACATAAAAAATCTAAACCAAAGCATCGGAGTTTTAATTCGTGTTGATATATTTGATATTAAAAGACACACGGGTGAGATTATTCTTATTGTCCTGAATCAATCTTCTAGCCTTTTGCCAATGCAAACAGTACTAACCAGTGTCCTGTGTGTATAAACTACAGCTAACCAGCTTCTGTGGTAGATTAGTGACGGCATTGTACCGATGACGTCACAATGGTATGCAAAGCATTGTGATGCAGTTCCATTGTAGCGATATCTCATAACATATACTCAAGCAATATTTACGTGGAAGCCATTATTGGATGATAAATTGTCATAGCACACAGAATACAAACCGCAGAAAGCCATAATAATTTACTTAAGATATTATGTAACAACACGTTGCAATAGATAAATTGGGTGTGACAAACATCCGATCCGTGTTATTTATCATCTGTTTGGTTTAGAAGAATAGAATAGCTGTACACTGAATATGTTGTCTAACGGTAGAGAGCTACAGGTCCAACTCATCTGCTCCTGGTTTGTCTTGTGGCATGTTCTTTCTCAGCATTGTTTCTACTAAACTGTGCCCCGTTGGACCTGAATTATCTGTGCAGAATAACAATAAATTGGTAATTATCATAACAAAAGGTAACAAAGAAAAAAATCACAAAAGAGAAGCTGCACCACACTGTCCACCTCACAGTCCACCTCAAAGTCCACCCCGGAGTCCACTTCACAGTCCACTTCACAGTCCACCCCCCAGTCCACCCCACATTCCACTTCACAGTCAACCCCACAGTCCACTTCACAGTCCACTTCACAGTCTTGATCTTGTCTTACTACCCATGATCTTGTGGCTTCTACACCTAGCTGTACAGCTCAGACATCTCACCTATAAAAACAAAGTCATTTTTTATCGGTTTTATTTTATTTCATGTGCCCACGCATTGAGAATTGTTAAACAATATTTTAAGACGAGTAAAGGCAGGATGTCTCATAAATATGGACCCTCCTTCAGCTCAGGTATATTTAACGTAAATGATTCAGTATCAATCAGTGAAGTATTTCGTTTGCTCAGCTATGGAAGACATCAAAGCTCGGACGGCCCATGAAGACCCGGGTAGAGAATAGGTCTATAGCAACCCATGCTTGCCGTTAAAGGTGACTTGGTTGATGCATGTCATCGTATCCTAATTGCGTGGATCGATGCTCGTGATGCCTATCACTGATTGCCTGGCCAAGACTCGATTATTTACAGACCGTCGTCATATAGCTGGAATATTGCTGAGTGCTGCGTTAAGCCACAAACAAACAAACAAACAAACAAAGCTCGGGGACATCGGGACTCGATGCCGCGAATACCTACAATATGAGAACACAGGTGTGCTCGTCTTCAGTTTGATTGTTGTTCGCAAAGTTTATTCCATTTTATCATGGCGGGCGGTATATGGTTCAAGTCTTGACAACCTGATGCATTAAGTCGCTTCTTATGACAAGCAGGGTTCCAGGGGACCTGTTGTAGCCAGGACTCCCCACGTCCTGATGGAAGTTACAACATAGGAAAATACTATTCACTAAAACGATCAACTGACTCGATCATTTCGGTTGCCCATATTTATATGTTCACACGATTGTCTATCTCATTATCATAAAGCCAGGAGGTACTGTAGCCTAGCCAAACGATTTCGAATCTTTATATGGATGCGATATATGCATTCCTACCCCGGGATCCCCATCCGTGGTATTGCTGGAACATTGCTAATCTCAGCGTAAAACGCTATCACACAATCACTCGACAACATTATCTGACTTACCTCCCTTGTCTGTCGACTGGAGTGACTCTGCCCGATCCTCTCACTTGGGCTGTTTCTGTACCACGCTGTACACATCACATTCAGCAGCCCCATCTTCAAGAAACAATGGTAATCTAACTTTTAGTTAGGAAACAAACGACGAGTGGGGGTTGTTTATCGTACAATAAAACACTGCAGGGAGAATAAACCATGATGGGCGCAGCTCCGAGTGATTTATTCTCCCTGCAGTGTTTACTGTACGATAAAGAACGTCTATGAGACGTTTATTTCTTATATGAGACATCAACATCATGTACAGCCTCTTAAGGATGATGATGAAATGTACAAGCTTTCAAAATATTAACCCGTATTTTAATAATGATGACTCCCTCAACAGAATCAATGAAAGTCCATTTTATGCACAGGTGGGTATTTCCCGCAAATTCTCACAATCCTCACGTCGATTGCCTGTACCTTTTCTCCCAATGACGATTGTAATATCTCACCCGCTTTTGGATGCGATCGTTCGGCTATCGCGTTTATCTTAGTAGCCGAGCTACATCTATGGGGAACAATTCACTAGACACTCCCTTCTCAAAAATAACGTCGTCCAATATACGTCATCAAGTTGTGAGCGCATGTTCGAATCTCCAGAAATGACGTCATGATAGTACAATGTTAATGAAATAAACCACACTTCGCTCTTCATTGTTCTTTGCTATATATCGCGTGGCTATCTTATATTTCCCATAACATCCTACTTCAAAAAGACATTTTGCACATGTACATAATCGCAAAGCCAATTGGAAGGTACGGTAGCTCAGTGAATCGAATTCGAATACCCATATGGATGCACTGTATGAATTCCCCGCCGTAATATTGCTGGAATATTGCTAAAAGTACAACCACACTCTATCACTCCCTCGGCAATACTAATCTGACCTACCATCTTTGTCCGTCGGTTGGTGTGACATTCCCTGGCCTTCCGTTTTGGGTTGTTTCTGTACGACGCTGTACACATCACAGGCAACGGCCTCCGCTTCAAGAAACAATGGTAATCTAACTTTTTAGTTACCAACAACATCCTACTTCAAAAAGTTAGTATGTACATGTACACATATGTGTATAATTTGGTTACTGATGTTCAATGCATAAATAACTATTACAACCATAGTCCAAGAACGTTTATCAAAGACACAATGACTCATTAATGAAACTTTAATTAATTAAAAACGCAGATTGAACATAGTATTTCTGTTTTTCAATCACTGGATTGTCTGGTCCAGATTCGATGATTTACAGACCGCCGTCAAATATTTGGAGTGTGATAGGCTACTAACCTTCACACTTCTTTGTACTCGGTACATATATAGACTTTTGTAAGAACAATGATTGATCGTTGTTTAACGCCACACACAACAATATGCAAGCTCTCTCTCGGCGGAGTGTAAATAATCAAGTTTTGACCAGATAATCCAGTGATTGATATCATGAGCATCGATGCACGTAATTGGGACACGATGACATGCACCAACTAAGTCAGCAAGCCTGACTACTCGATCCAATTAGTCCCCTCTTATGACAAGCATAGTCACCTTTAATGGCAAGCATGGGTTACTGAAGACCTATTCTACCACCGATCTTCACGGGTGGAGTACTAAGTAAGGACATATATGGATAACAAACTTAGTGTTTAACCTACACCGAAACGTTGCTCCTAATTGTAGAACAGAAGTTGTCCATATATGCAATTTTCCTGCACATTTATCTTTGTTCTGAGACATAATATTTTTTCGGACACTGCTTCAAGACATGATATCCACAAAGGAGGATCCAAAGACATGATTTCCACAAAGGAGGACCCTAAGACATGATATCCACAAATAAGCAACCTAAGACGTGATATCGAGAAAGGAGGACCCTAAGACATGATTAACACAAAGGAGGAACCTAAGACATGATATCCACAAAGGAGGATTCTGAGACATGATATCCACAAAGGAGGTTTCTGAGAGATGATATCCACAAAGAAGGACCCTAAGACATGATATCCACAAAGGAGGACCCAAATACATGATATCCACAAAGGAGGAACCTAAGACATGATATCCACAAAGGAGGAACCTAAGACGTGATCAACTCAAAGGAAGAACCTAAGACATGATATCCACAAAGGAGGACCCTAAGACATGATATCCACAAAGGAGGAACCTAAGACTTTATATCCACAAAGGAGGATTCTGAGACATGATATCCACAAAGAAGGATCCTAAGACGTGATATCCACAAAGGATGATCCTAAGACATGATTAACACAAAGGAGGATCCCAAGGCGTGATATCGACAAAGGGCATGTTCGAATCTCCAGAAATGACGTTGTGATAGCTATCTTATATTTCCAATAACATCCTACTTCAAAAAGACATTTTGCACATGTACATAATGGCAAAGCCAGATGGAAGGTATGGTAGCTCAGTGAATCGAATTCGAATATCCATATGGATGCACTGTATGAATTCCCCGCCGTAATATTGCTGGAATATTGCTAAAAGTACAACCACACTCTATCACTCCCTCGGCAATACTAATCTGACCTACCATCTTTGTCCGTCGGTTGGTGTGACATTCCCTGGCCTTCCGTTTTGGGTTGTTTCTGTACGACGCTGTACACATCACAGGCAACGGCCTCCGCTTCAAGAAACAATGGTAATCTAACTTTTTAGTTACCAACAACATCCTACTTCAAAAAGTTAGTATGTACATGTACACATATGTGTATAATTTGGTTACTGATGTTCAATGCATAAATAACTATTACAACCATAGTCCAAGAACGTTTATCAAAGACACAATGACTCATTAATGAAACTTTAATTAATTAAAAACGCAGATTGAACATAGTATTTCTGTTTTTCAATCACTGGATTGTCTGGTCCAGATTCGATGATTTACAGACCGCCGTCAAATATTTGGAGTGTGATAGGCTACTAACCTTCACACTTCTTTGTACTCGGTACATATATAGACTTTTGTAAGAACAATGATTGATCGTTGTTTAACGCCACACACAACAATATGCAAGCTCTCTCTCGGCGGAGTGTAAATAATCAAGTTTTGACCAGATAATCCAGTGATTGATATCATGAGCATCGATGCACGTAATTGGGACACGATGACTTGCACCAACTAAGTCAGCAAGCCTGACTACTCGATCCAATTAGTCCCCTCTTATGACAAGCATAGTCACCTTTAATGGCAAGCATGGGTTACTGAAGACCTATTCTACCACCGATCTTCACGGGTGGAGTACTAAGTAAGGACATATATGGATAACAAACTTAGTGTTTAACCTACACCGAAACGTTGCTCCTAATTGTAGAACAGAAGTTGTCCATATATGCAATTTTCCTGCACATTTATCTTTGTTCTGAGACATAATATTTTTTCGGACACTGCTTCAAGACATGATATCCACAAAGGAGGATCCAAAGACATGATTTCCACAAAGGAGGACCCTAAGACATGATATCCACAAATAAGCAACCTAAGACGTGATATCGAGAAAGGAGGACCCTAAGACATGATTAACACAAAGGAGGAACCTAAGACATGATATCCACAAAGGAGGATTCTGAGACATGATATCCACAAAGGAGGTTTCTGAGAGATGATATCCACAAAGAAGGACCCTAAGACATGATATCCACAAAGGAGGACCCAAATACATGATATCCACAAAGGAGGAACCTAAGACATGATATCCACAAAGGAGGAACCTAAGACGTGATCAACTCAAAGGAAGAACCTAAGACATGATATCCACAAAGGAGGACCCTAAGACATGATATCCACAAAGGAGGAACCTAAGACTTTATATCCACAAAGGAGGATTCTGAGACATGATATCCACAAAGAAGGATCCTAAGACGTGATATCCACAAAGGATGATCCTAAGACATGATTAACACAAAGGAGGATCCCAAGGCGTGATATCGACAAAGGGCATGTTCGAATCTCCAGAAATGACGTTGTGATAGCTATCTTATATTTCCAATAACATCCTACTTCAAAAAGACATTTTGCACATGTACATAATGGCAAAGCCAGATGGAAGGTATGGTAGCTCAGTGAATCGAATTCGAATATCCATATGGATGCACTGTATGAATTCCCCGCCGTAATATTGCTGGAATATTGCTAAAAGTACAACCACACTCTATCACTCCCTCGGCAATACTAATCTGACCTACCATCTTTGTCCGTCGGTTGGTGTGACATTCCCTGGCCTTCCGACTTGGGTTGTTTCTGTACGACGCTGTACACATCACAGGCAACGGCCTCCGCTTCAAGAAACAATGGTAATCTAACTTTTTAGTTACCAACAACATCCTACTTCAAAAAGTTAGTATGTACATGTACACATATGTGTATAATTTGGTTACTGATGTTCAATGCATAAATAACTATTACAACCATAGTCCAAGAACGTATATCAAAGACACAATGACTCATTAATGAAACTTTAATTAATTAAAAACGCAGATTGAACATAGTATTTCTGTTTTTCAATCACTGGATTGTGTGGTCCAGATTCGATGATTTACAGACCGCCGTCAAATATTTGGAGTGTGAAAGGCTACTAACCTTCACATTTCTTTGTACTCGGTACATATATAGACTTTTGTAAGAACAATGATTGATCGTTGTTTAACGCCACACACAACAATATTCCAGCTATATGTCGGCGGAGTGTAATTAATCTGGTTTTGACCAGACAATCCAGTGATTGATATCATGAGCATCGATGCACGTAATTGGGACACGATGAATGCACCAACTAAGTCAGCAAGCCTGACTACTCGATCCAATTAGTCCCCTCTTATGACAAGCATAGTCACCTTTAATGGCAAGCATGGGTTACTGAAGACCTATTCTACCACCGATCTTCACGGGTGGAGTACTAAGTAAGGACATATATGGATAACAAACTTAGTGTTTAACCTACACCGAAACGTTGCTCCTAATTGTAGAACAGAAGTTGTCCATATATGCAATTTTCCTGCACATTTATCTTTTTTGTGAGACAATATTTTTTCGGACACTGCCTCAAGACATGATGTCCACAAAGGAGGATCCAAAGACGTGATAAACACAAAGGAGGATTCTTAGACGTGATATCCACAAATAAGGATCCTAAGACATGATATCGAGAAAGGAGGATCCTAAGACATGATATCTACAAAGAAGGATCCTCAGACGTGATATCCACAAAGGAGGATCCTAAGACATGATACCCACAAAGGAGGATCCCAAGACATGATACCCGTAAAGGAGGATCCTAAGACAGGATATCCACAAAGAAGGATCCCAAGACATGATATCCACAAAGGAGGGACCCTAAGACATGATATCCACAAAATCGGATCCTAAGACGTGATATCGACAAAGGAGGAGCCTAAGACGTGCTATCCACAAAGGAGGATCCTTAGACAGGATATCCACAAAGGAGGATCCTCAGACGTGATATCGACAAAGGAGGATCCCAAGACATCATAAACACAAAGAAGGATCCCAAGACATGATATCCGAAAAAGGAGGATCCTAAGACATGATATCCACAAAGGAGGATCCTCAGACGTGATATCGACAAAGGATGATCCCAAGACATCATAAACACAAAGGAGGATCCCTAGACATGATATCCACAAAGGAGGATCCTAAGACATTTTTTCAGGACATTAAGTTTATCCAGCAAACAATTCTATGTTATCTGTAAAATGTGTAGAATTCTTTTGTCCATGATTTTCGGGCAAATAGTATTCATTAACACAGTTTTCCTGCGACTCACCATTCAGTGTTGATGAACGCTGTTTATCCGGGATGGCGTATATGTCTGCAACCTCCTGAGATGTACCAGGGGACGCCTGGGGGTCTAAAGGAGACAGTATTCAGTACAACATGAGACATGTTTACAAATGAATCAGTGCCAATGATTAAAAAACAGTGTACGAGACCTTCAAGATAGACCCATAGATCAAATGTTTAAATTTCGAGAAATTGATCCATCTACTTGATACATGATGGATTTAAATTTTAAAAAATCGTCAGAATTGGTAAAGGAAAGAATGAAACAGGCCCCTTCCAATGAATGAAACTTTTGTCAATCGACTTCGTGAACGTTTAAAAGCTGACGGATCATTTATCAATACAACAGGAATGTCCAAGCATACAGCTATAAGTTTATTAAATGAGTGGGCGGGGTTTTCCCCGGTTTTAGCCACAGAACGACGGTGGACACCAGACATAGGGTTGCAACATTATGGCCACGTGGGGAATCTTGCAGCTATTAGCGGCGAAGTAAGCAATCAAACCCGGGTCTTTGGATTGAAGATTCAACGCTTTGACAACCAGGCTACCACACCTCCCCCTTGTCATATATACCATAGACTCACCCTGGGTGCTGTCTGTCTTGTCTAGCCCCACCTATCTGGACATAGTAACGTCCCCACACCTCCCCCTTGTCATATATACCATACACTCACCCTGGGTGCTGGCTGCCTGGACCCACCTATCAGGACATAGTGACGTCCCCACCCCTCCCCCTTGTCATCTATATCATAGACTCACCCTGGGTGCTGGCTGTCTGTCTGGCCCCACCTATCAGGACACAGTGACGTCCCCACACCTCTCCCTTGTCATCTATACCATAGACTCACCCTGGGTGCTGGCTGTCTGGCCCAACCTATCAGGACATAGTGATGTCCCCACACCTCCCCCTTGTCATCTATACCATAGGCTTACCCTGGGTGCTGTCTGTCTGTCTGGCCCCACCTATCAGGACACAGTGACGTCCCCACACCTCCCCCTTGTCATCTATACCATAGACTCACCCTGGGTGCTGCCTGTCTGTCTGGCCCCACCTATCTGGGCATAGTGACGTCCCCACACCTCCCCCTTGTCATCTATACCATAGGCTCACCCTGGGTGCTAGCTGTCTGTCTGGTCCCACCTATCAGGACATAGTGACGTCCCCACACCTCCCCCTTGTCATATATACCATAGACTCACCCTGGGTGCTGGCTGCCTGGACCCACCTATCAGGACATAGTGACGTCCCCACACCTCCCCCTTGTCATCTATATCATAGACTCACCCTGGGTGCTGGCTGTCTGTCTGGCCCCACCTATCAGGACACAGTGACGTCCCCACACCTCTCCCTTGTCATCTATACCATAGACTCACCCTGGGTGCTGTCTGTCTGGCCCAACCTATCAGGACATAGTGATGTCCCCACACCTCCCCCTTGTCATCTATACCATTGGCTCACCCTGGGTGCTGTCTGTCTGTCTGGCCCCACCTATCAGGACACAGTGACGTCCCCACACCTCCCCCTTGTCATCTATACCATAGACTCACCCTGGGTGCTGCCTGTCTGTCTGGCCCAACCTATCTGGGCATAGTGACGTCCCCACACCTCCCCCTTGTCATCTATACCATGGGCTCACCCTGGGTGCTAGCTGTCTGTCTGGTCCCACCTATCAGGACATAGTGACGTCCCCACACCTCCCCCTTGTCATTTATACCATAGACTCACCCTGGGTGCTGGCTGTCTGTCTGGCCCCACCTATCTGGGCAAAGTGACGTCCCCACATCTCCCCCTTGTCATTTATACCATAGACTCACCCTGGGTGCTGGCTGTCTGTCTGGCCCCACCTATCTGGACATAGTGACGTCCCCACACCTTCCTTTGTAATATATATCATAGACTCACCCTGGGTGCTGTCTGACTGTCTGGCCCCGCCTATCTGGACATAGTGACGTCCCCATACCCCCCCCCCCCCCCCCCCCCCCCCTTGTCATATATACCATAGACTCACCCTTGGAGCTTTCTGTCTGTCTGGCCCCACCTATCTGGACATAGTGACGTCCCCATACCCCCCCCCCCCCCCCCCCCCTTGTCATATATACCATAGACTCACCCTTGGTGCTTTCTGTCTGTCTGGCCCCACCTATCTTGACATAGTGACGTCCCCATACCTCCCCCTTGTCATATATACCAAAGACTCACCCTTGGTGCTTGCTGTCTGTCTGGCCCCACCTATCTGGGCATAGTCCACGTCCCCAAAGTAGCTGCTGTAGATGGGATTACCCACCCTTGTCATCTATACCATAGACTCACCCGGGGTGCTGTCTGTCTGCCTAGACTCACCTATCAGGACATAGTGACGTCCCCACACCTCCCCTTGTCATATATACCATAGACTCACCCTTGGTGCTGGCTGTCTGTCTGGCCCCACCTATCTGGGCATAGTCCACGCCCCCATCGTAGCTGCTGTAGATGGGATTACCCACCATCACTGCAAAGTGGATGGGGAAATTTGCCTCAACGAAATATTGATACTGATATTGACAGAGGAAAAAAAGAAAGAAAGTTTCTTGCATTTGTTGATATTTGTTTACAGTTTTGTCATGTATAGATTGTATCCCTCTTTAATAAAACACTTCAAAACTGAATGTGTGATTTAATAATCTCGTATTTATATGTACTGACCATCATCTTCTCCCTGTTCCGGATCTTGATTTCTGATAAGTTAAATGTGTATGATTACATCATATTCGGTTTGTGTTGACATACAACATGAATAAATCAGTTCAGTTAAAACCTGTTGGAATAAGATTGTTTGAAATTCAGAGATGTCGCATTATTTAAATTGAACTGCCTTTGGTTTAGTTTACTTTGTTATATTAGCACACTAATAAATCTACGACGCCGCATTTCATTGTGATCATGGGTTCGAATCCCTATGTTTCTAGGTTTGTCAGCACCATACCCGTGTTCGTGGTTTCATTTAAGTGGTAAACGTCTGCGACCTGCACAGCTTCAGCCTTCCGACCACATCAAGCTGGCACTCTGTTACATAACTGAATCGGGGACACGGGTGGCCCAGTCGTCTAAGGCGCCGCGATTCGATGTGGAGAGATGCGTCCCTTGGGCACGCCAGAAACCTAGGATTGTGGGTTCGAATCCCGGTTCGCCCCGATTATGTTTCTAGGTTTGTCAGCACCACACCCGTGCTCGTGGGTTTCACCGAAGTGGTAAACGTCTGAGACCTGCATCACTTCGGGCTTTCCTCCCACATTAAGCTGACACGCCGTGATATAACTGGAATACTGTTAAAAGCGGCGTTAAACCCAACCCAACTCACTCACTCACATAACTGAATCATTTGTTATTTTGTTTTTTAAAAGATAATTATGTATTAGTTGTGGATAAGGATCTTGCACTGTCTGTACCATGCTGATATTCGAGTCTCAGACAACAGCAACAACGTTCATTTTATGCAGACAATCCATGACATAACGTATCCTTCGCTCTTTCAATCCTTTCTTTAATTAAATAAAGTGACAAAACCACTCCCACAATCATATGAAACTTCCACTAAAGGTAGAGTCCATCATACGTTTCCGACATTATCATCAGCATGTATTATTAAAAACTATCAAACAGTGATGATGCCAGGTGTTCGCGAAAAGATGAAGAAATACCTCTACATACCTTTGATGACCTTTGCCAGGCCGCTCAGCAGCTAAGGAAGAATGAATAGTATAGCATTGGATTCATATCATTCAAACAACATGCGCCAATACCTACGTCACTTATCGCTACGGAGTAACTACAACTGGTATATACTAGGTAATATGCACAAACATTTATTTATTTTGTTAATTTTTTTGGCAATAAATGTTTTGCTATTTGAGCAAATATGATTCAAGAAAAACAAATTTCCTGAACAATGATATTAATTGATAACAACATTTCATTATTACGTCTCGAGAGGTCATAAACGATATTTGGGATACTGATGTCCCATTCGCCCTAAGACATCGGAGTTCTGTGTGCAGAGTTGCGTCGCTTAGGCTTGCCAGGGACCTGTGGCCTTGGGTTCGAATCCCGGTTCCTCCTCATTATTTGTCTAGTCGGTTCGAATCCCTGTTTCCAGGTTTGTCAGCACCATATCCCTGCTCGTACGCTTCACCAAATTGGTAAAAACTTAAGACCTGCTTCACTTGGCTTCCCTCCCACATCAAGCTGACACACCATGATGCAACTGCCATACAGTTCAAATCAGCATTTACCTAAACACACTAACTCTAACGAATTCACTTCGCCATTACTTGCTACTGACATACACGGCTTCTTATATGAAGATGGAGTGCTGGCAACGTATGAAATACTGTTCAAAGCGGCGTTGAACCAAACCCAACTCCCTCACTCACTCTCTTGTGAACAGTACAGTACTTACAGCCATCGGTGTGCCTCTGTTTCCTTGATCGGAGTAAGCAGCAGACGGTGATGACGGCAGCAAGTAGAACCAGAGCGCCGCCAATGGTTCCGCCAAGCAGGGGCAGCATGGAGTTTACAGGGGGTGTTTGGGGATTTGTAGAGTCTTCGGTTCTTTCATTCTTAAACCCTGTGCTGCTTGTATCCGTTACAGAGGTTGTAGGTTCATTTGTTGAGTGAGTAGATCCGGGGGCAGTGGACGTAGTAGTGGCTTGAGCTGCTGATGTTGATGTCACTTTTGCCCTTGGTGACGATGACGTAGTCGTTGTTACTTCAGTTGTTTGTTCTAAGACGTTCACAAGACATGGCACTATGAGTCAGTGCCAAGGTTAGCAATATTACAGCTATATTACGGCGGTCTGTAAATAATCGAGTCTGGACCAGACAATCCAGTGATAGATATTATGAAGTAAGCCAAGGATATTGACATATTTCAGTGTAGACATTATGTTGATTAATTTGTCATAATTTTTAATCAAGTTACATGTTGGAGAGGCAATTGGTTCACCACAATGTGACATAGCTTCGTCTAAATGGATTCGTCGATCGTTTGTTTTCGATAGGGTGAAAGCAAAGTTCATTTTGTTTGGATATAATATTATCAACAGAGGCAGATGGAGATGAAGTTGCTTAGTTTTCCTGAGGATGTTGTTTCGAGTTTGTTTTTTTAAGAAATATAAAGACATATGTCAGGGGGAATAAAGCAATCGATATTCAAACAAATCATGTTATCAAGATGGTAACGTCATTTATCGTTCAACTGAGATTCAAGAGTAAGACAAAAGTCGAGTAATTGAAATACTCTTACTACAATTTGCTACGGAGATCGACACTACACATGCTTCCTTCATGGAAATAGTCTGATTCCAGTGTAAAGACATGAGATGGTGAGGATCTGATAAGAGCAAGTTTATTTGACTTTGCATTTTCAATTTGGACACCAAAGATAAAACACTAATAAGATAGGATTGTCTTATAGTACCTGCCAAAACGTTGACATGGATGCTTCTGGGTAATCCTTGTAATTGACACCTCCAATTTCCTTCGTGCACCTTGCTGATGTTGGAGATTTTGAGAGCATGTTTAGTGCAGTTTTTACTTCCCAATGACAGCTCTGGCCGACGTGGATTCCCGTATCGTATCTTGCATCCTTCAGTTCCCTCAAACATATCCACAACATATCCATCGATGTCTGGCATAAACCAGGCGCCTACCTCCTTCTTTGCCCCTACACACTCTAAAACAACATCACTTCCCGCTTCACCTGTATAGGGGTGTCCGTAGATGTCACCGAGAAAGCAATAAAAACGCCATATGTATATTATGTATCATATGATGACATTATGAGAAACACGTCATAGGTATCTGCATTGAAATAAACAGTAAACAACGGCTTTTCTGTAGCAGTGATATCGTAATATTCGCCTGTAGGAACCGATCTAAACCTCTCCACGGTAGAGTAGACTTTGAAGTTGTTATAAATACTTGCAGAAAAAATGTGACTGTGTTGTATAAAATGGTGTAAATGTTACGTTATTGACAATAACAACTTGATATTTGGTTATTCGTCTGAGCCATGTTTTACTATAACAAACGCATTGACGAGACCCATACCGAGTAACATGAGGCAGAGCGACACGCCCTAAAAGATGTCAATATAAGGTGTGACCACCAATTGCGTTAATACGGGCGAGCAGCGTCGGCGCTTTGAAGACACCGGGTGATTGAAAACAGTCTGGGGTATGTTGTTCAAAATGACAGCCAGTCAGCGCAACAAAGCTAGCGTTACCGATCCGGGTCGTTGGCGTCTGTGAGAGACAGATCTGCAGAAACAGCCTGCAGATCTGCAGAAATGGCAGTACAGCAATGCTATGCTAAATGAGCCTGTTACAGCAAGAGCAACGCGTGGGCGGGTATTATCCTGCTGCAACGTTCTTGAATTTGAACCTAGGAACATAATCTCCACAGTGTTGGACATTTAGCAACATATGGCAGTCAAACAAAATGACTGCTGCTGCACTTATACGCAATGTTCCTCCCACGGCGGCAGCGACGCAATATCACGCCCCACGACTTCGATTCGTGTCGTTTACGCTTTCACATAGTGAAACCAACTCAGTAAGCACGCGATTTAATGCTTGCATTTGATGTAGTCTGCTACGATTACTGGTGGAAACACTGTTGCAATTTGTTTGACAAAAACACCTCAACTCAGAGAGTGACACACAACTTTAGCTATACAGTGAACTACGGCTATAACGAACACGCTTATAACGAACTGATTGAATAACGAACTTATTTTTTAGTCCCGGCCATTTGTCGTATTTATGCTGTATATATGCTTATAACGAACTACGGTTATAACAAACTTAAATAAGTGGTCCCTTTGAGTTCGTTATAACCGTAGTTTACTGTATTTCCATGTGTTACTTCTTCCCCTTAATGGAATGTTTCGAGTCACATAATCATTCTGGAGCTAAGTACTTTAAATCCTACTTTAAGATAAGATTCAGCTGCAGCTGTAAAACCAGATTTAATTTTTTGTTCAATTAAAACTGTAAACCTACAGGTGAATATCTTGTTTTATTGTTTGTTTGTTTGTTTGACGTTTAACGCCGCGCTCAGCAATATTCCAGCTATCTGATGGCGGTCTGTACATAATCGAGTCTGGACCCTGGGCCAGACAATCCAGTGATTGACATCATGTGCATGATCCACGCAATTGGGATACCATGACATGCATCAACCAAGTCAGCGAGCCTGACAACCCGATCCCGTAAGTCGCCTCTTACCACAAGCTTAGTCGCCTTTTACGGCAAGCATGGGTTGCTGAAGAGCTGTTCATAATATAAAAACAAGAATATTTCAAAGTCAACAATACTTGAATTATGGGTTACGAGAAGTTCTCGGAGATGATGCACAACCTTAAGACATGCGTTACAATCTCGGTGATTGGCTGAAAATATTTCTCTCCTCTACGTCCATTGGCTTAATCACACAGGGCAATACTACTTTTGATCACTGCACGGCATAACGGGTCAATTCATAATTCATTAGAACAATCTTTTAACATCATGTGTACAAAAAATAATTTCAATCAAACTTTAACGTGCAGACGGACAGGCCCATAAAGTCGCGTGGGGTCAACAGTCACAGTCATGACACAAGACGAGGCAAGTGTGTAAAATGTCGGAATATACCTCATAATGTCACGTGATATCGGATATGTCCACCTTGAGCATTAATGCACGCCAGAACATGTCGACGGGCCAATGACGGACCGATAAAGTTCTGCGTCAACCATGCCTTGCTTGACAACGGTATAAGGATCTAAAGAAGTTGTTATCCATAAAATTGTGTCTACCTAGATTGAATGAGTGTTGCTCAGTGACCTTAACGTCAGGTTTCTGATTTTATTACCTCCCCTGAAAGAACGTCGAGAAGAGCCATTGAAGAAACTATTGGAAGTAAGAAGCTGCAAAGGTGAAATCAAGGTCAACATTTACAATGTCGACATAATCATAATTTTGTTAAATGCTATAAGCGAGGCAGCCATATTGAAAATCGGATTGGAATCTCTTGAACAAATTGGGATTTCCTCATTGGTGGAAACAAGTAGTTGTAGATTCTGCTTCAGGTGAGCTTAAAACTTACGTTCAATTACTGTAGACGTTCCATCCACTCCATATATCCAGAAACACGCCCATGACATGATTCCAAAAAAGACACAGGTTGTTCGAATATACATCATGTTGAAATGGCAGTGTTTCACCACATATCTTTGTTTTGATATAAGCGACAAATACCAGTTCCACAGCACGATCCCGACAGTACCACGACCATGCGCCCACGAATCATCAGCACACAGCGACGACACCAGGCGCTCGCGAAAAGGCGAGAGCAACGCGACCCGGAAGTGACAAAATACTTCAGAGTGGTCTTTGTGTCATCAAGTATGCCAGATACTGTACATTACACACTATGGCCGGAAAAGGTCTATTTTATATAAAGTGATCACTAGAACGGCGATTGTTATACGAGTTCCAAATATACAACTATATCCGGAACAAGGTCTATTTTAAAGTGATCACAAGAACGTGGTAACGGCGGTTGTTACAACTTCCTTATATAAGAAGTTCACATATTTAACCATAATTTAGAAACAATCTCTCATCTTTGATTGTGCATCACGATTTAATTTCCAGTTTCGTTTTATCTTTCGTTTATGGACCATGACCTCACAGGTTAATGCTACTGACGCAATCATGTGGGTGTGGAGTCGTAGCTTTGTGCTAATATATTTGCGGATATTTGCCATTGTAAAGGTGGCGTCTTCAAAACACAGGAAAAACTTGCTTTTAGGTTTTAATAAAGAAAAACCTATTCTAAAACCTTCAAAGTAAAATCTTGCAATTAAGGGAATAGTTGTTGAAGATGAAAAAGAAACAGGGCTGACAAGTTTTTTTCGAATCACGCAATCATTTGAAACTGAATAACAGACAGGACCATATTGGACAGCCGTCTTCGAAGGTTAACCCGCAGGCACAACATACTGCTTTCTGTTTGTTTGTTTGTTTGTTTGTTTGTTTGTTTGTTTGTTGTTTAACGTCGCACTCAGCAATATTTCAGCTATATGACGGCGGTCTGTAAATAATCGAGTCTGGACCAGACAATCCAATGATTGACATCATAAGCATCGATCCACCCAATTGGGATACGATGCCATGCATTAACCAAGTCAACGAGCCTGACCATCCGATCCCGTCGCCTTTTACGACAAGCATAGTCACCTTTTATGGTAAGCATGGGTTGCTGAAGACCTATTCTACACCGGATCCTCACGGGTCTACTGCTTTCTGCTCAGCAATGGTGGTAATGAAGGTCCCGATAGCTTCAGTAATGTGCTATGAACGGATTTAATCGTAGACATTTTTCAGGTTGAACACACGTTCTTGCTAAGGAAAACTGAAATATATATTTATATAGACTAAACGTTGATATCACTCAGCATATTCATTTTCGGATTGTATAATAACAATGTCTGTGCTGTTGCCGTAAACTAACGGACAGTTAACGTCATTTTTTTAATGCGGCTGGATCCTTCAAGTCACAGATGAAATACTGACTAATGCTAATGCCAGTATTTTATCTGTGACTTGAAGGTTCCAGCTGCGATTAGGAACAAGTGAACAAAGCATCTCTCTCGCACACCCAAAAGCCTATCCAGTATTTTATATTTCTATTCTATTGTGGTCAATATCATGGGCCCACTAGCCAGGACACATGGTTCAATGCCTAAGGCATATGGCAGAG